GCCTTCTCACACTAAAGATATAAATGCCATGACCTTTCCGCCATTTTCTCTTTCTTACTGCTTGCACAGCCCTAGGCATAGATCACCTGCTGCTTTGCTTTAGATAGCTGAGAAATGTTCCATTTCCTGAAACGATTTGCCTTGTGGTTTTTCCCAGAAAACATCTGCTGCTCACTTCCTTATCTTCTGATTCCCTCCTGCTGGCTATATAAGCTGTGACCTTCTGGCTAATAAATGAGACTTGAGCAGAATGCTGTCTTGTCTCCATTTCTCGTGTCTCTTGTCCCATCCAATTCCCACTCCCCCCTCCAGGGTCCTCGTTGAATATCCCGCGGGTCGGGACAGATACCCCAGCTTGTACTGTGTCATCTACTCCTTAAACCCTATCTTCCCAGTTTGCTTGCCCTGAGGTTAATCTATGACTAACCGGTGAAACAAAGGAGTGAGTTCAAGCAGGAGTCAACATGGAAGGCTGGGCACAAAATAAAATCAGTCCTGGTTGTTGTCCAACACCATCTTGCGGGTTTCCTATTTAATTAGTTAAATTAATCTTGGATATATTAGCTCAACTCTGATGTCCAACAGCCTATGAAGTTGTCAGAGAGGAGGCCTGGAGCCCCTCCTCCTGCAACCTGTCACCTCTCCCAGGGTGACAGCGATACAAAGGATTACTCGAAGCCCATTTCTCCAGAGCAATGAGAGGTCCGAAGTGGTTACCCCCAGGAATAATTCTTTCAAGAGAAGAAAGATCTCAGGAATAACCCCGAATCAGATATTCTCTCCATTTTTATTCTCCAGGCAAGAAAGTTACAGAAAAGGAACACAGGTGGTTACAGAAAGAACAATGAGATATTCATCATGGCAACAAGCATTAGGTTTAGCTGCACCAGGGACAACTGCCCTTATAGCAAGCAGTTTTGCTGTGTTACAACTTTTTAATCTACAACAGAGACTTTAGTCCTGGGAAAGTTTTCTGTTTTTCCCAAGCTTAGCATTTCTATGTGTTAGGCCCTGTGAAATATGTTTGCTTTATTAATGTTGGTATCCTCCACAGCAACCCTCCCCATGCTCCCCCACCCTGACTCTACCTCCACCCCTGCAAGGGGCCTAGAGGCTGATGCTTTTCCAGATGGTGAAGAGGCTGCAGGCAGGCACAGGACACGGCACAGGCTCACTGTTTCTCATAGATGGCTCAGCCTGGCACCCCACCTGGGGTCACATTCTGCAGCAGGTCCCAGGAGGGCGGCAGGAGGACACACTGCCCAGTGGGTGCAGCCACCAGACCGACCTTAGCCAGAGCTGCTGATGGGGGGCACCTTTTTATGCTGGAAGTCGGGGTGCTGGGAAACCCATGCTCCTGTGGCCACACAGGACCGTGCTGGGAAGAGGCAACTGCAGTGGGACCCAAGTGACTGCTGGAGGGGCAGGTAAGAAGCCCGAGGTGGGGAGGTGGGTGGGCTGACGACCTGAAAGCTGCAGCAACAGGTGCCTCCAGCTTCCCCATGAGGGGTCCTCCAGCCAAGGTCTGGTCATGGTCAGGACCCCCATTAAGGCTCAGAGCTTGTGGGTACATGATGGGTGTCTGGTCTGGGGGCCAGTCTCCATCGCCTGGGGCCAGGCCTGGGAAGGGAGGCTGGGCTGGGGCTGCCGGAGAAAAGCAGACAGTGTGGCAGTGGGGGAGCACTCCCACCGCCGGTGCTGATTGAGCCCCCAAACCTGGGTCCTTTGGAGCCCAAGAGGCCTTGAGATGGGACTCACATTTGAGTTGGTCTCTGTGGGATGAAGACAGGCCAAGCCCATGTGGGTCCCAGCCCACCTCCCCTCTTGGCTGCCTAGAAGCCCTTCCCCAGCACCTCTGTGCTTGGCTCTGAGGTGATGCAGGCCAGCTGGGAGGAGTTAGGCGGGGGTCAGAGAGGCTGGATGGCCAGGGCCTCTTATCCAACAGAGAGCCCAACAACACTTGATCCTAGTGCCGTGCCTCAGTTTCTCTTCCAAAACTCTGACTCTTGGGAAGGAGAGACAGGTCCTGGAAACCCTCTGTCGCCTGCTCTGACCGGTGAACTCCAGAATTTTTCTAGGAACGACTTCTTGTATCTAATCAACTCAATTGCCAAGATAAGGGCTGGTGGGTAAGTGACATCCAGGCTCAGAGACAGTGATTGCCAAGCTCCGTCCTTTAATCAGACAGAAGTGGAGGCAGGTGAGCTACGGAACAGCAACAAGAAGGGAGAAGGGTGGCACCTGCTGGGTGCTAACTGCCCCCTCGGCTGCTCCGTCATCACAATGGCTCAGGCCCTTGTGGTCCCGCCCGCCTTGGAGCTGGGCCCTGGGAACAGCTGGGCTGTGAGAGCCCCAGGGAGGAGCAGGTGCAGAGTGGGAGAGTGGGGGGTGGTCCTGGGGTGTTTTCCAGGTACGGGTCACTATCAAGATCCAGGACTCGCAGAGGATGACGCTGGGGCTCAAAGCAGTGGCCCCCACCCAGGTCCCACGGCAGGGCCCCCAGTCACCCTGCAGGGAGAGGGCGCCAGATGGGGCAATTAAGAGATAACAGGGATGAGGCTGTGGGTGGAGCAGGTGGGTCCCCGACTCCGAGGGTGTCACCACACAGGTGACGATGGGACATGTGGGAGTGACTGAGGCTGCACTGAGGTGCTGTCCTGGGGCAGCCGATGGCTGACTGCATCTCCTGCAGTAGAAGTTGTCGCACCTCCTGCTCCATGATGACATGGGGCTCTAGGCTGATCATTGCCATGGGGGTGAGGGACAGGTGGGCTCAGCTCCAGGGGGCCCACGTCCCCCACGTAAGCCTCGCCTTGGCTGCTTGGGGGCCCAGGAGCTGTGCCGGGGTGCAACTGGGGGTTGAGCATCACAACCTAAGTGCTCTGTGCCTCAGTTTCCCCAGCAGGAAAGGGGCAGGATGCTGGCACTGTCTGCTTGGGCAGCCCTTGCCATCTTTCTGGGCCCTCAGCTAAGTGAGCCTTGCCCACATCTGCTGGAGGAGCATCTCTTATCATCCCAGCTCAGAGACCGAGACGAGGCTCAGGGTGTTGGGGAGCTGGGCCCGGGCCACCCAACAGCGGGCAAGAGGAGGAGCTAGGACTCCAGGGGCTAGGAGCCCCCGCACTGGGGAAGAAACAGTGAACGTGGGCACGGCTCTCACAGCAGAGCCTGGCACCACACCGATGCCGGCTCACCATTTCACCTGATGTCACTGTGGAAAGGCCCAGCTTCTTCCCTGCCTCAGGGCCCTTGCACATGCTGTTCCCTCTGCTTGTGACCCCTTCCCACCTTCTCTGTTCAGGAGTCTCCTACCATCCATCAGATGATGCAGCTTCAACACCACTGCCGGAGCCCAGACCGCAGCGGTGCCCCCCATTCTCTCAGGGGTCCTCACAGCCGTCACACTTGGCATCAGTTAACTAGACATCAGGACAGTAGCGTCTGTCTCCTGCTGCCTGAGGGTGGCCCTGCGGCATCCTGCAGAGAGCTCCACATGGCAAGAATTCACTTCTCTGCTCTCTGACCCTTCCTCTACCCCTGGGATTCCCTGCTCAGGGTCTGACCCGGCCTCCCCTCCCCCACTTCCCCACCCCCACCCCTGTCCCCACCCCCAGGCTCTGCCTCTTCCTGGGCATCAGGGTCCCTATGAGGCAGGCACCCTCCTTCCCCTCACACCCACCTGGTGTGCTCCAACCTCCTTCCAATGGGCTCCTCTTCTCCCAAAGCGTCTCTCCAGTCCCCACCCTTCCAGATGTGTCCCCAGTTGTGGCAATGTGACCTGGGCTCTTCCTGACCTCCACAGAGCCTCACTCTGGCTGTGACCCACCTGTTGTCTTGGAATTTGTTCTCTCAGCCCACCTCCCTCAGCTGACCTCATCCAGCTCCACTGGGATGTCCCCAGCCCCTCAACCATGGAAAGGGGCAGTGGACTAACCTGCTGGCCATTGGAACCAGCCACATCGACTCCAGTCACACTAAGGAGTCAACCCCAGACCCCACCCCAGCCCAGTGCTACCCACCCTCACCCCATCTCCATCTTCCTTCCTGTGGACAGGCTGAGCCTCCTCCCAGACAGGGCCTCCCCTACCCGCACCCCTGCCTGGCACCCAAGGTGCCAAAGGGACAATCCCTCCCCTGGACAAGGCACTCCCTGCTGCAATTGAGGTGGGACTGGCAATTCCACCTGCAGTCAGCTCAGGTGCCTGCTGGTCAGTGAAGGGGTCCTGCAGGGAGGAAAACTTCCTAGGGGTGCACCCTCCCTGGTTTGGGGAACCAGACCCCCTCTCCAGATCTCCTCCTCAGGCTCACAGGTGAGCAGGGTTTGCTTCAGGTGGGTGCATTTTCCCTGAAGCAGGGGCTGTGGGGGGTCAGGGCCGTGAGTCTGGGCCAGAGCTTCTCCCACCTTCTTTGCTCCAGCATTAGGGATCAGGCAAAATGCAGATCTGCTTTGGAGTTCAGGGAGCCGGCTGAGTCAGCCATGCTGGACTGGTCTCTTGGCTGTCCAGATGCTCGGGTTGGGGGACGGTGAAGGGGGGCCAAAAGGGTTGATGCTGTCCCAAGTCCCCCCAGCCCTGGCATCTTATGGTGCCGCAGCTCCCTAGGCACTGTCAGCTTCACCAGCGGTCTGCTCCACATGGGGGTGGGGGTGGGGGGTCAAGAGAGAAATGCCCACCCCTAGTGTCCTTGTCCTCTGTGGGCCAATGAAGAGTCCCCAGCAAGACTGTGCCTCAGTTACCCATGATGGCAACTTCCTTGTTTCTGCAAACTCATTGGTGTTTCTTCCTTCTTTGCCTTAGTTTCCCCACTCCCTCTTCTGTGGGATCACCTCCCAAATAAACTACCTGCACCAAGTCCTGGTCCCAAGTCAGCATTTGAGGGGATCATGGTAAGACCAGGAACATCTGGCATTTGTGCAATGGTAGGGAGGGGATTATTGATTGGGAGCATTTCCTCCACAGCAAACCCACCCCCTGACTTCTCAGCCCCCAGGCACCCTGGAGCTCCTAGTGTCCTTCCCTAATTTATCTTTCTGATACAACTAACCAGAGAGAGTGCTGCTGTTTGCAACCAAAACCTGGACAAAGAGTTATGAGTCTGGGTGGGGTCTTGGCCTGAACTGGACATGGGTGAACAGGGGGGAGTTGTCCAGGAAGGAACTTGGTTCCCCAGAAAGCTATGCAAGGCATCAACCTGAACATGTGCACATGTTTATTAGCAAATGGGACAGAAGGGGAAAGGAGCCTGATGCAGGCAGTCCTGACCCTGACCCTGGAGTACCCAAGCCTGGGGGAGTGTGCAGGTGCTGTGGCACCCACTGTACTCCCACAGGCTATGGTAGACTCAGGCCGACTGCAGGAGTCGGGGAGCCCACAGCAAAGTGAGCAGCAGCAGCAGCCACTGGCAGGGGTCTGGCTTTGGTGAACTGCAGGGGATTAGCATCCGGATCCACTGGAAGTATACACTGACGTTGGTGTAGACTCCGGGCCGATTGGGCCGACCACAGCCTTCTCCCCAGCTCACGACTCCAACTTGATACCATAGCCCATTCTTGTTGCAGACCAAGGGTCCACCTGAGTCACCCTGGGGAGCAGAATGGGTGAGCCTGATCTGGGGTGGGGTGGGTAAGGCCAGCAGACAGGCTGGAAGAGCAGGATGGCTGTGGAGCTGGGTAGACTGGGTGCAAATCCTACTCCTCCCCCTAGCAGCAACTGAGCCTCAGTTTCTGCATCTGCAAAGTGGGGCAACAGCCTCTCAGGGTCGGTGTGATAACCAAAAGAGGTTAAAACTTATGGAAAATGAGAAGTACATTCACAGGCTGGACAAACAAGGACTGCAAGTGTATTCTCATGAACAAATTCCAAGGGTGCGTTAGTGGAGGGACATGGGGGTTGCTTTCAGGCCTGGGGCTGGGAAGGGTGGGAATCCCTGGTAGGGTACCGACACTCACTCTGCAGGAGTCTACACTGCCATCCTCAGCACCAGCACAAACCATTGTTTCTTTTATTACACTACGAGCAGAGGACTGTTTGAACAGGTAATTGCACCTGGTGTTGTTTAAGATTGTGAGCTTCACTTCCTGGAGTTTGTAGGGAGGCAGCCGATGTGCTGGTAATAGAACAGAGAAATACCACAATCTTAGCCTCTCCTCTCCCATATGGGGCAGGGGGAGGCAGGAGGCCACATGTACACTGGTGGGGAGGGGCTGCTATGATTTGAGTGTCTGTCACCTCCAAAGCTTTATAAAGACAGGAAGAGAGCATGTGAACACGCTCAGCCCTCCCACCATGTGATACCCTGCACCACCATGGGACTCTGCAAAGAGCCATCCCCCCACCAGTAGAAAGGTCTTTACCAGATGGGCCCCTCAAACATGGAATTCCCAACCTCCAAAACTGCAAGAAATAAGTGACGTCACCAGATGTCTTAATAGACAATTAAATCACAACTATTAAAACACAAAAACTGCCATCCTGAGATCACTGGAACTCAGGAGAATAGGAGGGGAGACCTGCAGAGTTCCTGAAGGTGTAAAAGGGTGCAGTGAGAGGGACGAGGGACTACTCCGACCATTCCAAGCCCCAGTGGCTCCCTGCACTGGCATGGTACAGTGCAAGGAACCAGTACCAGCCCATGGAGCAGCCACCAGATTATGGAAAAGCCACAACAGTGCACTTTCCATGAAGCTACTTGGAGTCTGCAGGGGTGAAGGGTGGTTCAGAGTGCACCATCCTGTCTCCCAGGCCAGCAAAGCCACTAGCAAGCTTCTCCAGAACCCACATGAAGGGAGGGTTTGCAGCCTTCACCAGACAGGCCCCTCAACCATGCCATTCCCAACTTCCAAAACTGCAAGTCACTCCCACCCACAACTGATCAACAGGTCAGATTTTTTATGGTTAATACAGTACAGCTGCAAGAGCCAGGCCAAAAGTTCCCAAATTTGGTGTAAGACACGAATCTACAGCTTCCAGAAGCTAAACCAACTCCAACTAAAATAACCACAAAGAGAATCATACTGAGACACATTTTAATCCAACAATCAAAAGAAAAAGAATCATAAAGAGCAAAACAGAACCCAGTCCACAAAGATAAGGAAAGTTCACCAGGGCCGGCCCAGTGGCGTGCTGGAAAGTGCGCCGCTTGGGAGCACGGCGGCGCTTCCGCCGAGGGTTTGGATCCCATGTGGAGACCGGTTCCCGCTCACTGGCTGAGCACGGTGCGGGCGCAACACCGAGGGTTGCGATCCCGTTGCCGGTCAGTAAAAAAGACAAAAAGGAAAAAAATAATTCACAGAGATCGTAATACTTGTCACATGATTTAGGTTATAAATAAATCAAGTGCATTTCTTAGTTCTTGTTCAAAGAAAATGTATTTTAATCTGATATCCTTTCAACTTGTACCTTTCCCCAGAAGCTGTTGATGACAGTTTGATCAAAGTGCCATGTTGTTGGGCCGACCCCGTGGCGCACTGGAGAGTCCAAAAGACAGTGGAATGACAGATGTAAAGTACAGAATGAAATAAACACTTAAATGAGAATTCTATATCAGGCAAAACTCTCCATCAAAAAAGACAGGAGACATTAAAACTTTCCCAGATAAACAAATGCCGAGAGGATTCATAACTAGGAGATCTATGCTAAAACAATGGAAAAGTGAGTCCTTCAGACTGAAAGAAAAGGACACTAGATGGAAACTGAAACTGAAACAAACCAAAATCACTGGTGAAGGTAACTACACAGGTAAGTATACAAGCCAGTATAACTTTATTTTTTGTTTATACCTCCTCTTTTTTCCTAAATGATTTAAAAGAGAAATGCATAAAGCAGGTGATAATAAATCTATGTTAATGGTAATTTGTAGTGCATAGAGATGTAAATTGTGACAATAACAACATAGAGTGGAGAAATGGAGTTGAATAGGACTAGAGATTTTGCACACTATTGAATCTAAACTGGCATATAATCAAAATAGATGCTTATAAGCTTATGATATTAATTTCAACCCCCAGGAAAACCACTAAGAAAATAACTAAAAAATATAAAGAATAGAAAATGAGAATCAATATGGTACACTAAAATATTAGTTAACCACAAAATGAGAAAGTAAGAAACAAAAAAGATATGGCATAGATACACATATAAAAAAAACATGTAAGACAAGATATAAAAAAAATTACAAAATAGAAGTAATACTTTCCTGATCACTAATTACTTGTAGGTGGATTAAGTGCTCCAAATAAACAGCTGATATTGGCAAAATGAGGTAAAAATACACAGGGTCAAACTCTATACTGTCAATAATTTAAATAGTATAGTTTAAATTGTTAATTTAATATTATGTGAATTAGACCACAAAAAAAAAAAAAAAAGAATGCTAAAAGCTGATACATGCTATAAAGAGGGCACACCTGGAAGACACAACCAGCCACATGCTGTGTGATTCCATATGTGGAAGGTCCAGGGCAAGGAAATCCATAGATACATAAAGCAGATTAGCAGTTTCCACAGCTATAGGTCTAGAGAATGGGAGGATTGAGCATTAAGACAAAGGAGGAAGGATTTCTTTTTGAGATGATAAAAATGTTCTATAATTAGGTAGTGGCAATGATAGCTCAATTTTCTAAACATACTAAACATCATTGAATTGTATGCTTCTGGCCTACGTAGTCTCAGGAAGGGAGAGAACTGAGTGGTTCGTGCACTTGCAGGTGGGAGCAGCAGTAGAAAAGCACGTGAGGAGAGAAAGCTGTGGGCGCCGGCAGGAGGGGCCCCAGCTGCACCCCACAACCAAGCAGGGGGCTGCTGTGGCTGCAACAGGGGTGGTGACGAGTGTCTGACTCACCCCCACCACCCTTCTCACCACCCCACTGTCCCCAGCCTCACTGTAATTCTCGCTGATGTCTCCCCAGCCGGTCACCCAGCAGTCAGGCCAGTGCTCGAACATGAAGGTAGAAGACAGGACACAAACGGGCTGGATGTACTTGTTGTAGGAGACAGGGGAGGCCAGCCTCACCAGGGCGATGTCGTTGAATAAAATCCCCCTGTAGCTGGGGTGCACAAGGATATCCCACACCCTGTAACGGTTGACGTAGGCCCGCAGGTTCCAGGGAGACAGCGTGGAAGTCAGCTCTCCAAACTGGACCGTCCACTCGGAAGGGTCACGGTGACTGGCAGGGGTGGAGGGAGCAGTCATGGGCCGTGGAAGCAGGGCCGGCCACCTGTCCACAGCTGGGGGCCCACTCATGAGGTGAGATTGGGGTTTGCTAGCAAGTCCTTCTGATGGCCAAAGGGCCCCCTGTGAAATGGGGGAGCCCATAAAGGCCACAGCCAGAGTCCCAGAACGTGGGCACTGTCGGAGCTGGAGCAGAAGGGTCCCCCCATGCCCGGCCACCACACCCCATGTGGTCTTGGCACCTCACGGAGCTGTCCTAGGATACGAAAATCCAGCAAATTAGAGGGCCCTATGCAGCCCAAAAAGGAATGATCAGATGCGCGTGCACTGATGCAGGACCCAGCCAAATGGAGTCAAAATAGCTTTCCTGCGGGATGCTCAGCACTTACCCCCACGTCAGGCCAACCTCCCACACCGGTGGTAGGAAGGTGGAATGAGGGGGGTACAAATGGTGGTGCCCTTTTTTTTTTTTAAAGATGACCGGTAAGGGGATCTTAACCCTTGACTTGGTGTTGTCAGCACCACGCTCACCCAAGTGAGCTAACCGGCCATCCCTATATAGGGATCCGAACCCACGGCCCTGGTGCTATCAGCACCGCACTCTCCCGAGTGAGCCACGGGCCGGCCCTGGTGGTGCCATTTCGGTTACAAATAAGAAAAGTATTGGGGCCGGTCCGGTGGCGCACTGGATAGTGCGCCGCTTGGGAAGCATGGTGGCGCTCCCGCCCAAGGGTTCGTATCCCACATACAGACCTGTTCCCGCTCACTGGCTGAGCGAGGCGCGGGAGCAACACCGAGGGTTGCGATCCCGTTGCCGGTCCCCGGTCCGGTACGGGGGCAACACTGAGGGTTGCGATCCGTTGCCGGACACGGAAAAAAGACAAAAAAAAAAAAAAAAAAAAAAAAAAAAAAAAAAAAAAAAA